AAGAGATCTTGTCCGCCGTGTTTCGCGAGCGGCACATTCCGTTACTCACGAATAATAAGATAAGTCTATAACTAAATTTTTGCACACACAGAAGTAAATATTTTTGACTAAACAACTCGTATGATGCGTACAAGAGTCGAGGAAACTGGCGATTTTAATTGTGATTGAAATTAATTGAAATTAAATTAAAATTTAACATAAAATAAATTTCAATTTGGCGGTGCAAAAAAATTATAAACATTTATAAAGGGTATATATATATATATGCTTATACATGTAGAGAATTTAAAAAAAAAAATAACCCCGCAAAATTTGAGTGCGGTCGATGCTCGTTCACATTCGTCGACTCTTCAGAAACGCGAAGCCATCTTTTATGTCGAAGAACGGGATTGATCTTTTAAATTGCATCGTGTTTACGGTCTGACATGATATATATATATATATATATATATAAAGATGAGATAGAAGAGTACGATTTCTATTTACAGATAGTTCATGATAAGCACATTTACTTACTACTATATTTAAACCATCTGTTTTGAGAATTGTTTCATTTTCACTATTTTGGAAAGTAAAAGCTTTCTTAATATACGGTGTTTCCCATAAAACAGTTTTTTCTGCAGCATTTCTAATTATTGTCGGCAAATCTAATTTGATCATTTCAAGCGGTAACTGAAAAGAATTAATGTATATATTACTTGTTTATGTAGAGCTCCTATATTATTACAATTTTATATTATTTATAAGTGATAGGTGTTATTATATGGAATTTCAGAAACAGGATGTATCATAATTCATGCCCATAAATTACAAAGTGCTATTTCTGAATTATATATATATATATATATATAGGGAGAGAGAGGGATGAGAGTGTGGGAGAGCAAACTACTAGCGAGTTTGCGTATCTACGAGCAATGTGTGTAGATCGCGACGTGTCAGTGAGGGAGTTGGAAAGGCGGGTGGATGGGGAAGGTCATTCGGGAGGATGGCGGCTCATCTTGTAATGGACTCAGAAGACAGGCGAGTCGGCTAATGGAGCCCTGCTCTTCCAGAAAAGCTCTTAGTATCCGCGCCGCGCGAGCGTCGATGCTGTCGGGCTGCGTCATTCCAAATCCGCAGCATCCCCCGGCGGGTTATTTGCGCGCGCGCAGGTGCGAGAGACAGACGAGAGCGTCGGATTTTTAGAATATTTCGGGCCCCCGAGGTACGGCGAGTGTTTCGAGAGGCTTTCGTAAGAGATAAAATAATTTAAATAAAATATATATGCAAGATTATGTATAGACTGGAAATATTATATCAGAAAATTACAAGATATGTAGTTTAATATTATACCATCATTGTAAAGATTTTTTTCATCGACTCTATCTTATCGCCCGCGAGTCCGAATTGAGAGGCGTGATAATCTTTTTCAAGATGATTCCTATAATTATATATAGATTTTTGCGAACACACACCTTGCGTATGCCGCCTTCTTCAAGTTCAACACGGAATTTATCGTTGCGTCAGCGCGACGCGTCGTGTCGTTAAATGCTTTTTCGCGAGATAAGGGCATCGCGAGAACGGCGGTCAGCGAGCAAAAGAGAGAGAGAGAAAGAGAGAGAGAGAGAGAGAGAGAGAGAGAGAAAAAGAGAGAGTGCCGCTTAGTTTAATACACGTAACGCTACTTTCCGCCCGCTTTTTCTATCAAATGCTCCACGCCGAGCTCCAACGGGGTTCGAAGTAGTATAAGTCGTGGACAAAGTAGACGGCGTACAGAAAACCTCCATTAAAGTCCGTAGAAGTGATTAGTACGCTCCCCATTCCCCTCTTCCGTTCCCTTCTCCCGCCGGTTCCACTCTTGCCCTTCGTTCTACACATATACATATACACACACACATGCGCACGCGCGAGATACCCGCTTTTCCCCTCTCCCGCCTGTATCTTCCTCCCTCTCGTTTTTCTATCTCTGTCTGACTCCTTGCAATTTCAGAGCAACTCTCGCATTTCGCTTTCTCCTTCGCACGGAGAACGACAGACTTTGGAAACGCGCGTCTCGCGATACTCGTGGGAGAACTATTATCGAACATCGTATAACGATTTTGGATCTGCGACGGTGTATTGTATATAGGGTATCGCGCACTCACTCTCTGTCGACCACGGATTCTGCAGGGTTGACTCTCTGGAGTTGATATCTGTTTGATGAAAATCAGGATGCACGTTGTTTTTTTTTTTCTTTCCGTAATTTTTCTTTTCATTATTAAATATCTCCATGTTTTTAATTTACGACATTCAATAACTCGGTAATTAAGTCGCCAATTAAATTTCTGTTAAAGTAAAGTGCATTTGAGATTTATTGGCAAATGAAGTTTTATTACCTATTTACACTTTCGAAACTTATTCGTCGTAATACTTCTTCTCTCTCTTTAATTTATAATATTAACTCCTAACTAAATCTCGAAATTGAAGACTCGAGAAGACGTCAATTTGAAACTTATCTTACTACTCTTTAGACCATTCAGTGTAAGACACCGAATTTTTTACGGGAGTGTCGTTGAAAATGTAAAAGCTACCTCTATTTTTTTCTGATAATGTTGCCGAGATTAACACGGGGAGAGTAATATAAGCATGAAGCCGCGGATAAGATCGCGAGACATTTTTTTTTTTTCTGATAGCACTGCTACTTCCCGAGAGGTAAACCTAGACTTCCCGTGGTTGTGATAGGCCCGATGTCATAAATCAGCCGGTAATTAAAAGAGACCATCGACAATGGCGGCGACGATAAGCACGGCTTAATCCATTTCATCGGTCCGGTATATGGGAGTGGAAAAAAGGTCGTAGCCTTTCTAATTTAATCTGGCGAATGATTCCGTGATTCTCGAAGCTGGCGGCAACCCTTTCATTACTTACGTCCCTACCCAGCGCCGCGCACCCTCGCGGCTCCTTGCTCACCTCTCTCAATCTCTCGCCCCCCTCCTCCCTCCCTCGCGTCCCTCCAAACCCCTCGTGCGCCACCGTGAATCGGCGCAGAACACTAAATCAGCGACCGGTGTAATTTTTGTAATGGGAGGTGTGGCTTCGTAGGGGTGGCGGACGCGTATCCGCGGAGTAGGGGTTGCGGGCACGCGGTAGGGATGTGCCACCCCTGCGTCGGCTCGCGTGTAGGTGGAAACGGTGGGGTGAAATTCGTAGGGGCTATTCTAGGGATATCCCGTTGAGCGAGACGCGCCACATCGGAGGTTAATCCTCCACAGCTATTTCACAAGCGTGATCGTCCTTTAGAAGGATCTCAAGGGAGGGAAGAAGGGGAGATCTTTGCTATCAATCTATTCATCGATTCATAATTATGATAACATTGTAATCTATCATTTCTCACGTATACTATCTGCATTTTTATATTATATATTACGTACTTTGTGTGTTTACACATATACCGTTTCTCAGAATAGATTTATTTTAGACTATAATAAATACTGTTATTAAAATAATATTAAAATTAGTAACTAAATTAATGTTGTCAATATGTATTTTGTTATTATTTATTACATGCTATTAGTTTATTAATTTTATTTTCAATTGGTGTTTAGTCAGAATTGGAACATTAAAGATGTTTCCTGTAGATAGGTAATCTCTTTAGAGATGTATATATCGTTTTCAATACTCATCTACAAAAATTTAAAAATTGCCGAAACGGAGCAGTATATTTTATTAATCATAATAACTAATTTATCCTAAATTGATTAAACTTCTTTACTAATCTTAGCAAGTAATTTTCTGACAGTTTTGTTAATTTGCATTGTAGTATAAAAGGAAATGAATACATAGGGAATTTGTATTACTATAAATCTATAACGTCTTACTGATATCTGATTCGCTAAATAGATTTATTATGACCGCACAAAAATGATCTACGAAATGATATACGAAATAAAACCTAACTAATATTGCTATATTAATGATAATGTTACGTAATAATATCGCTAATATGAAAAGCATCGATATTGAAACAAAACTATCTATAATGGACAATAAATAATTTAAGTTTTGTTTTTGTTTTTTGCATTTAATCATTTATATCTTCAACATTGTATTTGCGATTAAGCCATCACGATGAAGAGTATCGATCCATTACACATTCATTATGATAAATCGCTGATAATTGAATCCCTCGTTCGGTCGTGATTACGATCGCACGTCGCCCCTTATCGAATCCCGGACAAAGTCGATTCTTACCCGCCGCGGGACGTCGACAGGCGCGAAATTAAAAAGAAACAAACACCGGCGCGCGTACTATAATCGATATCCCCCTCGCGTTCGTCGTCGTCTTCGCTTCGTGGCCGTCGTAGCGGCACGTTCTCTTCCATCCCTCCCGTCGATCACCCCCGCATCCGCTTCGTCGTCGTCGTCGTCGCTGGAAATCGAGAGCTCATAACTCGCTTCCTAAACGTGCCGCCTAATCGACTGGAGTGCGACCGCTATCCCGAATCGGGGTACATCCGGCGTGATCCGCCTCGCGCGGGGGGTTAAATTGTGCGATAGAGCGCGGATAGTTGAAGGTTCGACGAGCGTGCGAGGGAGATGAACGGAAGAAAAGAGAGAGAGGGAGTGAGAGAAAGCACGCGTGCGAGGGGTAATGTAAGGGGTAGCCGTTGGTGGTGGCATTTGCGATGAAGTGGGGAAAGCGCGTAGGGGTAGTATAGCAAACCGGTGGCGGGGAATGTCGAGGGGGAGGGTGGAGGTTAGCTCGGTGGATAGTGGGGATTTATCACTCTCGGTGGCGTGCCGTGGCCGCACGCGGCACTCGGCAGTTTACAGCCGACCGCCGAACCGGCGGTCTCGTGGTACCTAATTCCGGAAAATTATCGCGCGACGCACGCACACGCTTCGTCCCGCGAGGGTTGCGCGCAATTCGAAGGGTTGTAAGATACATCATTGTTCGTGAAGCCTTGCTCAAGAGAATTTTTCGGTAGATCGATCGATCGAGATATAAACTGGTCATCGATGAAGGAGGAGAGCGCGCGAATCGAAGTTGGTGATCGTTTCGTGCGTCTTGTGCAGTGCCACGTGACGCGGAGAGCTTAAGGGTGTAGGAGAAACCGCCCCTCGCACGAAGCCCTCGCCGTTTCTCAACGATTGTTGCCAGGTAAATGCGATTGGAGATTGCGATTAGATTAGTGCGCGCGAGACGGACGGGCGAGAAATAGAATGAGACTTTGATGAGAACTTTAGATCGCGTCGAGATTTGATTAGCCTGTGCAAAGGATCGGAATATAATTATCCAGTTCAATGATAGATTGCATTTATCGATATCAATCTCGAGAATCTCGTATAATGTAATACAAGATACTTTTATGAAAACATAAGATGCAGATTGCAGGATGAGAGAGAAAGAGAGAAAGAGCAAATAGAGAAAATAAAGCACGCCGATAAGCTCGCAGCGTATATAGATGGTGTATAAATGAACGTGCATTTGCTAAAGAAGTCGCGTGAGAGTCTCGCGTTAATTATAAACTGTCTTGCTTTTTAACTTGGCAGATAAGCACGCGCTGCTGGCATACTTGTGTATAGTCATTCACCCCCTTCTTGCACTTGCATCTCGCGCGAGCGTCCCATCTCTCATCGACCGACGTCTGTTCCAATTACCGGTGGCGTTTTAAGGCGATTCCGTTGTAGGGCTGCCGTTACCGACGCGGATTAACTGCACCCTTAGAAATGATTCGTATTGCTCCTTTACTTCGTAATTCCTTTGTCCCGAATCGTCGTAACGGCGAGCGATTATCGACTAACGCAACTGTGAGGGAATGCGATTTAACCCATGCCAATCCTTGCGACATTTAATTAACCGCCGTAATAAAAAAAGAATACGACCTGAACAAAATCTTATATCTTTTTTCCACCATTATTACAAAAATTCTCGCGATAATGTAAAATGTGTGTCTTTTTCACCATCAGAAATAGTATATGCATTTTTATAGCAGAAGAAGTTTGCGCGGAAATTTCTTTATATTATTTGTGCTTCAAAAATGGAAATTGTTATATCCAAATTTGATGAGGAAATTCCATCCATTTACGACAATGGAGGCACGTCTCTTTATTGAATAGTCTTATAGTGAAGTTTCAGACGGATGCCATGAGATAACATAATGCACTATGTATGAATCGTTTTCGAGATATCGTCATCCAATATGCAAGAGCGAGCCGGTTGTAGCGCGTGACAAAGCTTTCACGAAGATTAGCGCTAGGTGCAATCTCGCGAGCGATTCATCGGAATGGCACGTTATTATATAGCCCCTCGGAATTTATTTCAAAGCCTATTATGAGATAAGCGAATTACAAATATATACTTTTACTATATTGTATATAAGAAAGCAAACAGTCGCGAATTAGGATACAATGAAGATTCTATCCCCGAGCTAAAAAAGTAAAGAAAATTAAACGTTTTATTTTTCAAATCTTTAAAACAGAATTACTTTTCATACTTGTAATAAGTTCTCTTTAAATTTTCGTTAAGATAACGTAATATTATCTTAACGAAAATTTAAATATTCTACCAAGACGAATATCTCCCGTGTTTCTCTAAAAAAAAGAAAACATATATACCTCTAATAAGATTGACGTAACGCGTTGCGCTCTCTATTTATCTAACGCAAATTTAATTAGAAGTTTAATTAGCGAATTATCGAACGTCAAACATCCGAAGCAGACGATTAAGAAATTTAAAAAATATTTTTAACAGATATAGATACTTTGATGGGTCTCTCCGTTAAAAAGAAAGCCGGAAGTATTACCATTTTTAATCTTCTTTCTCTTCTTCTTCATCATCATCGGAGATAAGATACAGATGTATCCTTCTCGTGTAGCCACATCACGCGTTTTATTCCCACATATGTCGTCGGGCGTCGGTTGAAGTCGAAATAATGAAGCTAACTGTCCGTCCGGACGAGCATCCCACCCTGTTCCACGAAGGCCCGGCCGTCTCTTCTTCATCACCCGACCTCCTCTTTCTCCTCTTCCTTTCTTCTTCCCCTTCTCCTCCTACGCCGTCTCGACGTCCCGCCGAGAGAGCGTCTCAACTGTCGGCCACCCGCGTGTACTCGTCCGTTTGAATGCCGATAATTGGCACTAGTTTCAGCCGGCGGCGGGCTCGTTAGCCGACCGGCTAAAGAGAATCACTTAATTATTTCGTTTGAAGTTCGCTCCCGATAGAAGAGAGATAGGTAGATATAGCTCGCTCGCGCGCGCGGATCACCCGTAGCGCGGATAAATCGAGAGAGACAGACGGAGAGAGCTGGAGCAAGCGCGAGATCTTCGAATCGGCGTTTATTTCGCACCGACAAATTGCCGTGGCTAATTAGCTTCGCGGGCTAAAAAAGGAAGCAGCACCGCGGATATCCTACCCGTTATTTCCTTGCTATTTCGGTTTATTACCGCGGTTGCTGAGTCGAAACTGAGCTGCTATTTTTGCCATTGATATGAAAAATTTCCCTGCTATTTGTGTATATGTATGTGTGTGTGTGTGTAAATGAAGCGACTTATTTTCGGTTCTTGATATGACTGTTGTTTCTTTGAAAAATGGGCCAAAATTATTAACACAATTTTTAATAGCTTGACGTATAAAATGAAACATTTCATAATTTGAAAAAATGATATAATACACATATAACATATATAAAGAAATAATAATAAATTAATGTAATCTATAATAAAAAATAATAATAACAAATATATAGATAAGTAAACTTGATTCAATTAATCCGCACTTCTCTGTTAATACATATCTGGTTCGTAAATTTAGAGAAAAAGCAAGAGCAGGTACTCGTCGTGTTTAGAAAGGAATAGAAATAGATGTAGTCTCTTTCACCAAAACAGATCTTTTTCGCAAGCGGCGCTTTCCCGTTTCCTGGACATTATAGCGTGCAAGCGGGCCGCTGCTATAATTTAATAACACCGGGGCGCGTGTAATGCCTTTCGACACGAGTCAGCGATAATTCCGCGGCGAATGTCCAATAAAAAGCCACTTTGCCCGATCGAAATATCAAATGTAATCCTCTTAAGTCGGCCGCACCGTCGAACATGTATCTCGCGAGCTGACCATCGCGCTCTGTCCTTCTCTAGCCTTCGCACTCCCAATCCTCGCCACCCCCGCCCTATCAACCCCTCTCGGACTCTATCTCTGTTCGCCTCGCTGAACTACTAACTTTTATTTCCCCCTCTTCTCTCTCTCTCTCTCTCTCTTTCTCTCTTTTATTCTGTCTTCTTTCCTCTATCGTGTTCCTTAAGTCGGAGGCGTTGCTTTTACGGCGATTGAAGTTTCTCGTGGGTCTTTGGGCACACCGCCAGGTGGCAGTCTCCTTCTGGGCGTCGGCCCTGGGTGCCCTTTCCCTTTTGAGATTTTTCTCAGAGCAGAGATATCGCTGTATACTTAGGACGTGCCGCCCCGAAATACCGCATCCGGTACAAAATACGTCGAAGCGGGTGGGAACGCTGAGTGTCACAAAACTGAAACTGTTTTTTCAAAAAAATCTTCGGATAATCATAGGCACATTGTTTCATTTCAAAACAAATTTTAACTTTGCAGCAAACTAAAAGAAAATTTTTGAGACGATATAGGATTGATAGGTCAATGCGGAGTTATCGGGTTATTTTTCTCCGATCGCGATTCGAGGGCACGAAAACAACGCGGTCACGGCACTGGCACAAATTCCGCAACATTCTTTTATCGATCGTTAAAAGTTTCATTGGCGTTCATGGTTGCTCCTTGGACGCGACGCTATTGAGAACACCTCGTGTACAATTAGCTTCTCTCATTAAAGAACCATTCGCAGCGGCGATTCGAATGCCGGGCGATGTTGAATAATTAGCATTTGCTACCGACCGAAATCGATTTGTTAATTAATAAAGCGCTAACGTTCGCCGTAATAATACCGGTCAACAATTGAATAGAGAGCGCGTTCATTAACTCGCCGCGCGCAGCCAGCTAACGCCGGATCGACTTCGTATTGATTCATATAATCGAATTTGTCGCGAGTTCTCCGAGCGATCTCTCGCCGGCGTATCGTCGCGTAAACGATGTTATTTACAACAGTGGAATGCCGTTCGATGGAGAAAAAGAACCTTATTTTATCGTCGGACATTTCGTCGCAACCCTTTTCCTTTCTCTTTTTCCGTGTCTCTTTTTCGTCTCATTTTCTTTCTCTCCGTTCTATCGCCACCCCCTCTGCCAAGATTTCGTGCCGCGAATTTTCCTCTACGCCCTCGTAGAGGAAGCCCGCGCGAAGGAAAGTTCCTTTTCCAACTTGGTGCTCCAGCTCGGTTACCGGCTATTGGCCAGGATATCTTTCGATTATCAAGACCATCCATACCTACCGCCTTAGCCGGCCGGCTTCCATTGTCTTCTCGGCTCTTTCAATTAATGTTTTGATTGATTTCGGACCCTCACTTGGAGAACGCGATCCTTCCTCACGATCGGCGTGCTTAGCTCGTTTCTGTCTCTCTTGCTCTTTCTCTCATTCTCACTTTCTCTGAGCAATACTCAAGTTGGTCGTCCATAATCGGCATTC